CCCTGAAGCTTTTTTGTTTTTTTCCGAAAAATTGGAAAAATTGAAAAAAGAAAAGAAAAGAAATTGATTATGGAATGTTTTATTTTAACATGATAAATAAAATATTTTAAGACAAGGTGTTCAAATATTTTCCAAATCATTTCTAAAATATATAATGGTATCAGATTGATCTAATTTCTGTGCACTGAGGACAAGCAAGTCCTAGGTTACAAACTGAACTCTCCAATGCAAGAACAAGATGCATTTCTTCCTTTAGGAGGTGCGATTGTCAGAAGAAAATAAAAAGGTTTCAGTTTTGTTTTTGCATGTGGGTGGGTATTCTGTTTGTAATAATTGTTTGGGTACACTATATTTTTAATATGCTAGTTGTGATAATTTCATGCCAAGTAAAAATGTCCATAGTCATTTTTTATGTTCCTAAAGTAACAGAATGACTTTCAATCTAGAAAAGAACAAAAGAAATGCTAATGTAGCATTTTTTTCAATTTTTCCGACAATTTCCGTTTTTTTCCGGAAAAAAACGGGTTTTTTCCCGAGCTTCAAAATTTCCGGAAATTTTACATCTCTAGTCATACGGCTCTTCCAGACGGGCTTTGGATGTTATTCTTCTCGGCGTTCTATCTCCTGGCGCCTTGGAACGGGTCTTAAGTCAGCGACTCTTCTCCGGCGGACTCATCCTGGTGCGTGGCCCCGCGCCAGCCGCAGCTCCGGCTCATGTCCTACTGGCTACGCCGTGCCGCCACGTCACCACGCCTCCACGATTTCGTCCTCACCCGGAGTTTTCCTTTGTCCCTTTCCCCTTTCATTTTCTATCCCTTTAAATGAGCGTGTGAGTGTGTGTGTGTGTACACACACGCATATGCACAATTCTCCAGGCCATTTAAAAAAAAAAACCCTTTCTATTTTTGCTTAAATATCGGTTCCTCGGAAATTTACATTTAACAAAAGGCCCAAAAGGTTACAAATAGAAGGAGCCAAATTTGCCTTCTTTACCTGTGATACAGAGAAGCCAGAAAAGAAAGCCGTGCATTTTAAATTGATGTGCGTGCAGTGGAGAGTGAAGAAAATGCACAGAAGACCATATTGACCAGTATCTGATAGGAGTGTGTTTGTGGCACCCGTCTGTCTGCTGGTAGATCGCCTCACAGGAGGGGAGGATACTGTTTTACCATCCAGGCGGCCTCGGCCCTTGGTTATTTTAGCAAACGGCCAACGGCCGTCGATGCAGGATCGCCCCTGGGCCTTGAAACGTGAGTCCCGCGGCCGGTCCCATTGCCTTCTCAGCCCCGCCCTCTCTTTCCCACAGCTGGCCGAGGCCCTGGACCTGTTTGAGGTGCAGATGCTGAAGGAGGAGCGCCTCCAGCCGGAGGAGATGAACTACACGGTCCTGATCGGCGGCTGCGGCCGGGTGGGCTACGTGAAGAAGGCCTTCCAACTCTACAACAACGTAAGCGCTTCCAACCCAGCGGCTTTTCAACATGGGAGGGAGTCTGTAGTCACTGCTCAGGTCTTCAGGTACCCTGCCACGAATTTTGTAGACTTGACCAGAACTGTCGATGAGAACTCAGTTTGTGTCAGGGGATGAGCTTTCAATTTAAAGATTTTTTATTTTTTGTAAAGACAAGCATCACAGCGACCAAACAGACAAGTACATAACACACAAACAAGTACGTAACGCACACTTCCCAGCTGCTTCTTTATTGCCAGTTTCGAAACTGCAACCGGGAATCCCAGAGGACTTACCCAGAATATGTGAAACAGAAAGAAACATATCCCTGCAGCGCTTCCTCCAAAATCCTGGCAACGGGGTCTGTGTAGCCTTGGGGAACCCGAATATATATTTTTGTCGGTCAGTTAGCGAATGCAAGGGAAAGACTTGGAGCCGTGGGTCTGTAGTGTCGTGCTTCTTGCAATGAGATCTGAGCGGAATGGGGAGGGTGCCGGGGCTGCCACCGGTCCTGGCACTATTCCAGCCCTCTCAGCGGACGGTAACTTTATCTGATGCTGGGCAGCTGTGGCTGTGGGCACCTTTCCCCTGGAACTGTATGACAATTCCCAGACTCTGACAAAGAGGGATTTTTTTCCCCCTCACACTCTGTATCCATGTCTCCTCGGTCTAACCGGAATTGGCTTTATTGACCCTTTTCCATTCTAACGGACATCTGTCTGTTTTGCACAGTGCGGTGTAGTGGTCAGAGCGTTGGACTAGAATCTGGGAGACCACGGCTCGAATCCCCACTCTGCCGTGACGTAAATAGCCCAGGCTAGCCAGATCTCAGAAGCTAAGCAGGGTCGGCCATGGATAGTATTTGGAAGGGCGAACTCCAAGGAATACCAGGGTCATTTGCAGAGGCAGGCAATGGCGAGCCACCTCTGAAACGTCTCTTGCCTTAAAAACAAGTCTGGCTCGCCACCTAGTGGTGCATGACGCTAAAAGAGCTAGAACTTTTGGCTGCCAGACAGTCTTAGGATCTCCTGTCTATTCTACACACAATGCCATACAGTAATTAATTAATCAATCCCCACTCTGCCACGGAAGCTTGCTGCGAGACCTTGGGCCAGTGACCAGTGTTCCCTCTAAGCTGAGTTAGTGTGAGCTAGCTCAGTTTTTTAGCCTCCAGCTCACACATTTTTGACTTCGCTCAGGAAGGATGGCTCCAGAGCAAACTAATTTATGCAGTAACCAAATCACTCGCTCACAACTTGAATGCCAGCAGCTCACAAAGTAGAATTTTTGCTCACAAGACTCCACAGCTTAGAGGGAACATTGCCAGTGACACACTCTCCGTCTAACCTGCCTCACAGGGTTATTGTGAAGATAAAATGCAGGAAAGGAGAATGATGTAAGCCACTTTGGGTCCCTGTTGTGGCGAATGATGGGGTATAAATGAAGTAAATAGATAAAAGGGGTTTCCTGTCCCTGCTCTGAGGAGCACAGCGTGGCCCATGTGGTCCTCTCCTCCTTTAGTTAGGCTGAGAACTTTTTTGGCGGTGTGGGGATTCTGACCCTGGTTCCTGGTCCAACACTCTGCGCCAGGGGCCCCCAGCCTTTCTGACGCTGCAGACACATTTGGAATTCTGAGATCGGGCAGCGGGCACAATCACAAAATGGCTGCCACGGGAGGCGGAGCCAGTCACAAAATGGTTGCCATGGGAGGTGGAGCTAGTCACAAAATGGCTGCCACAGGAGGCGGAGCCAGTCGCAAAGTGGCTGCCACGGGAGGCGGAGCCAGTCACAAAATGGCTGCCACGGGAGGCGGAACCAGTCACAAAATGGGTGCTGCGGGAGGTGGAGCCAATCACAAAATGGCTGCCCATTTGATCAGAAGTTACGCTGCACCAAAAGTCCTATCTAGCCCCGCACTTGTCGAGTGCGCCAGGGAATATGTCAGCAGGCGGCACCGTGCATACAGGCACCATGTTGGGGGGGGGCCTGCTCTAAGCTCTGCACAGCATTAGCTGTGTCTAATATTTCTCAAGCGTTGGCATGATGGTGGGGCTGGTGTCCTTTTCAGTGTATTTTAACGCAAGTTTTCGTCCTTTTCTTTTTGTCTCGGGAGGCAGATGAAGAAGCGAGGCTTGACCCCCACCGACGCCACCTACACGGCCCTCTTCAACGCCTGCGCACAGTCGCCCTGGAAAGATTCGGGCCTGCAGATGGCGCTCAAGCTGCAGCAGCAGCTGCGGGACCGCGGCCTGGAGCTGAACGTCATCAGTTACCGCGCGCTGCTGAAAGTCTGCGCCTTCTGTTCCGACCTCCGGATGTGCTTGCAGGTGTTCAAGGTAAAGCCGAGCTTCTCGTCTGATACAGCTGCGCCACAAAAACCCCGTGTGGGAGCCCAGCAAAGCCTTTCCGGTTAACCACGGGGCAGAGGAATGGGTCCTGCAGATACACGGAACGGCCGCCCATTCCTCCAGCACAGGCAGCCTTGCGCTCTGGAGGAGAGGACTGCCAATAGGGGAACAGAGCAGCTGGACCCAATCAATTGGGGGCAGTGGGGGGGGTGTCGTAAAGGGCTGTGTTTCAGTGGAAGAGCCTCTGCTCGGCACGCAGAAGGTCCCAGGTTCAGTCCCCGGCATCTCAAGGTAAGAGGATCAGGTAGGAGGTGATGGGAGAGACCTCCACCTGAGACCCTGGAGAATTGCTAATAGTCAGAATAGACAACAGTGATCTTGATAGGGCCTGTGGCTCAGTGGAAGAGCCTCAGCTTGGCATGCAGAAGTTCCCCGGTTCAATCCCCGGCATCTCCAGTTAAAAAGGATCAGGTAGGAGGTGATGGGAAAGACCTCTGTGCCTGAGACCCTGACTCAGCGGAAGGGCCTCTGCTTTGCATGCAGAAGGTCCCAGGTTCAGGCCTGGCATCTCCAGTTGAAAGGACCAGGCAGCTAAAGACCTCTGTGCCTGAGACCCTGGCTCAGTGGCAGAGCCCCTGCTTGGAATGCAGAAGGTCCCAGGTTCAATCCCCGGCACCTCCAGGTAAAAAGGACCAGGTAGTAGGTGATGGGAGAGACCTCTGTGCTTGAGACCCTGGAGAGCAGCTGCCAGTCTGAGTAGACAATACAGACTTTGATGGACCAAGGGTCTGGTTCAGTATAAGGCAACTTTGTGCGCTTTCACAGGTTGCAAAGCCAAAAGAATAAAAATGTAAGGGGTGTGAAGGGTATGCAGTGTTTTCTCCTGGGTGCGCTGTGAGTGAAAATATAAGAGTGGGGGCTTCGGGCAGAGCTGCTCTCCTGTTTGCTGATAACCTACGGCGATTTTAATGTAGGGACCCAACCTGAACACTAGCAGTGCTAGACAGGTCTAATTCTTCTGTCCCAGAAATGTGTGCTACTCTTGTTAAAGAGCAACAGATGCTATCGTTGAGCTTATTTCTGCTTTCTGCTGGACTTTGTCCCTGAAGTCTGAACGGGAATGGGACCAAAACCACCTCCAGCTGACCGTAGAGTTGGGAAGTGGAGTCCTAGATGGCAGAGGGAGGTGGCCCATCAATTAATACTGAAAGATCTCCTGGGTGCATGGCATTCTTTCTTCAGGGGGTGCAAAGATGTGCACAGCCCTACGTGAGGGGCCAGTGTCTGAAGGGCTGCCTTCTCTCATATGTTCTTGCCCGGGAATTAAGATCACAGATAGACCCTTTCCTCTCCTGCTTGTTCAGTCAATTAAAGAGATTTCTTTGGCGGGTACACGAGACGGGGTCTTTTCGGGGGCAGCCCCAAAATTATGGAACAGGCTTTCCAGGGGACTGCGCCTGGCCTCCCTCACTCTCGATCTTTAGAAGGCAGTCGGAAGACCGTTTTATTCGGGACTGCATCTGGTAAAGTTCCCTAGCAGTCCTGAGCAGTATTCCCTCTAAGCTGAGTCAGTGTGAGCTAGCTCACAGTCTTTTAGCCTCTGGCTCACGCATTTTCGTCTTCGCTCAGGAAGCATGGCTCCAGCGCAAACCAATTCATGCAGCAGCCAAATCGCTGGCTCACAACGTCAATGCCAGTAGCTCACAAAGTAGGATTTTTGCCCACAAGACTCCACAGCTTAGAGGGAGCATTGGTCCTGAGTTGTGATTTTAAATTTTGGCTTTTATGTTTTCGATTCATTTTGTGTGTGTGTTTTTATGTCATAAGCAGCCTTGAGCTCCTTAAGGAGGAAAGGCAGATAATAAAGTTTTTTTTAATAAAGAAGCAATAAATAAATACATGTATTTCAAAGTCTGCTTACATGGCTTCTTCCCGGCACAATCACTGTGCAGGGTTTATTTATGGTCTTCCTTCACTAATTAACTGTGGAAGTTTCATTCTTGGAGTTTTTTTTTTAATTTTAGACTTGGTATGTTCCTGGTATTTTGGGGGGATGATTAATTTGGAATACAGAAGTACCTCTGCTTTTGTCAGAAGCTGTCCTAGAGAACAGTGAGGTGAACCAGTTTCTCCTTTTTCCGCCCTTTCTAGGAAATGGTCCAGAAAGGCCATGGCGTCACCACAGAGACTTTCAACTTTTTGCTCATGGGCTGCATAAAAGACAAAGAGAACGGTTTCCGGTATGCCCTGCAGGTCTGTCTTTTTACCTCTCTTCTTT